ATATATATATATATATATATATATATATATATATATATATTAAACGACCGTATATCAATGTTGATTTAATAGAAATCTACAATTACTTACGGTCGGATGGACATCCTCTGATCTCTGCCCTCAGGCAAACAGTACGACGGTGAACGCTGTATGGCAATATGCGCACTTGCGAAGCGTACACGGGTGGTAGCAGATGATGCAAGACTACTGTCGATGTATCCGTATTGCCGGACATTATCTAAAATAAACCGAAACCATTACATAATTATTATTATTGCTATCATAATTAGAGATTTGTTTGGATGACGAAATACAATTGATATTGTACAAGTTTCCTAATTTCTTTTAGTGATTGTGTACCGAAACGATATTGTGTGCATTGTAATTCGTCCGAAAACATATTCGGAACACGTATTTATTAAACAATTGCAGTCGTAACAGAAATAATTTAATAACATATTATAATATGCAACACGTCGGTAGGTGATGAACAAAATTAAAACCTTTCACGTAACATCGAAATAGGCCGTTATAGGCGTTTATTGCGTCAAACTTCTACTGAAAAAATGGGTAGTTCTTTTTTTTTTTTAAACAAGATGCTTTGACCAAAATTACGTTTTACATTATTTTTTTCGACGCTTTTTAAAAATTAGGTTGAGTTAATCCGATAGCATATTTTAATACATTTTTAAAATAAATTCAAACACTTTGTGTTCAAGTTGGCAAATAAGTCTTTCCCATGGGCATGACGCGAAACATCAGTTTGACCCGAGTAGGATTATTTGTTCATTTTCGTAGGCGAAAAATTAAAATTCACTACCTTTAATTAGTTATTTTTCGTATTTTCAAAGGCTCAGTTTTTATGTATCCATGGTTTATATTAAAATATTTTATTTATTTATTTACCATAAAAACCTAAAAATATTCAATCACATGTACCACGTGATATTATTTGTGTTTTACTTAACAGAAAAATATATATATGAATAGATCAATATAGTTTATACGTTCAAATGAAAAATGAAGAAACTTTCTGTTTGTAAATTACACTATTGTCGGATTCGTATCCGAACAGTAACGCGATATACATTTCCACAATTATTTATGTATTTATTTTATCAGACAACATTGTTTTAATATAATTGTATACTATATTATTTAATTGTTTCGAAGAATTACACGGTTTTCGTTTATCATATTTATCATAAGTTTAGGCGTTGTGTAAAAAGCATCATATACCATTTTACACACCATTGCATTTGATTACCGCAGTATTTTGTTCTAGTTGAACACCAGATTTTCGACGATCTGTCTGTAAAAACAATTGATGTCGATGGTGGTCGATGCAAAAATATTACCGTGCGACCCACTTCACGTACACATATTTCGAAAATCGGTTTATCATTTACGTGTACGCGTATATAGTGTATTAAACAGTTGCATTTCGTTAAGTGTACCAGATCCCGTGCGATGATCATAACACAACCGAGCGGTATAAAACGTTTTTCAACACAGTGTCGGATTTACGTTACATTCGTCGGATTGCGGGCTGGATGAACGAGCAGGTATACCTACCCTCTGCGGGCGTACGAACGACGAAATCAAATCCAACAGGAATCGCTCTATCGATTGTTGTTCGGGGTGGGCTTAAAGTGTAATATAAGTGTTTATAAGTTTGTCCGACGGGAAATATAATTGAACACGATTAGCCGTGCAATGCAATTCGAACGCGCACACTTGTTACTCGATCACCGATATGTATATCGATCAACTGAAGGTTGTCGCGGACGTGACGTTAAGTGGCGCGCCACTCAGGGCGGACGGTAAGGGATGTGATCGGTCGGAACGTAAACGTCGCGCACTTCCACCCTCCGAGATCGGCGCGCAAAGTTTGTGAAATTGCAAAAGTGCCTTCCGGGGCAGGACAGCGGCGTTTCGGATGAAAATTTAAGACGAAATTTCCATACGCGGGATGTCTCGAGTGCTCGGCAGTTTGTCTTTCGGCGAACTTCTGTAGTCGCGCGCCGCGGATAAATCGTGGGAAGAATCGCTTCCGGGCATTGAACGGGTCTGGTGGGGGGAGGGTAGGTGACAAGACCGTGCGGGCGCGCGGCGGCATCGTCTCCTGCAGTTTCTCGCTCAAGTGCTCCGATAAATTCCAAAACGAACTAGGTCGCCGGCACGGCTTTTTCGCGCTTGTGTGCCGAACCGAACAAGCAATTCCTAAGTCACTCTGACCCCGTGCTACGGCAAGAACTTGTTTGCGCACGCCTCCTCCTCCCCATCCAACTCCAGGGCTCTCGAACTCGTTTCGCTGCAGGTCATAAACGTCCAATTTTCCCGTTCGATTGCAATGTTCACCGGCGGCTGCGGTCGTTTAGTGATTTCGATGTAACGCGCGTGTGCGCCCTTCCGTGATCCTGTCCGTTTTCAAATAGTCGTGTAATATTATTTTTTACGCAATCGTGTCTAGGGATAGCAACGGTATATTGAAAATATCGATACATGAAATATCATGACATTTTACATCGATACAACGTTACCGATATATCGTTTCGATATTATCGTGTCTAACGATATTTTAATCTGATCAATCTTCGGGAAATCACCAATACATATTATCATATACTATTGTAAATTATTTGAGATGTTATATGTAAATATGTAAATATTAATATTTTAAAAATATAAATAAAATTATTTTCATTATAATTTTCTAGGCGTGTACTGCAATATATAAAAATCGCAATTTTAATCTATTAATACTGTTCTGGTTTTATAAATTATTTTATAATTTTGTTAAATATTCATGATTTGATTATTTATTATTATTCCTGTAGAAAGTATCGATATTAAGTTACAGCTTCGGCTTACGGATTATAGTTATAAATTGTATTCAAATAAATTATAACCTATTACCTATGTTCTATGTGCAAGTTTATAAACCTTTTTTAATATTGGAAAGATTTTCCGATATATATATATATAATAGTTAAAATAAGATCTATTAATATATATATATATATATAATAGAGGTCGATATATAGTGGTATCTATATTGGGTAAGCAATATTTCGAAATTACGATACATCGATGGTTAACGATTTTTTGCCATACTCGTATCGCGGAAAAGTCGTCGATCGGTACGCACCCGCGTAGGACGAACGTTATTGACGCAGTTCCGCGCAAAAATAAATAAATAACAATTGGAATACGATACGAATTGTGCAGTTAATATATTTGCACAATCGATTATGAAATCAAATGTTGCCCGGTTACAGTTTATTTATATACATTACGGGTTCGTTTCGGTAAGCGGCTCGGCAGACTGTTACGGTTTAAATTTTAAAACGATTTTACGCGCTTGTCGTGCAGGTACCGTTGGAAGACCCTGGAAAGTTTGTATATTTGTTTAAATGAAAATACCATAAATACGATAAGCTGAAGGACAGATTTTTCAATGGATATTATGTATGTACTTTAAGCCGATCGAGATGCGTAAAATGTACTTAACAAAACTAAAAATTGAAAGAGTTAACCGCTTTTGTTCAACTTTCAAAAAATATATTAATAATATAACTTTTGTTTTGACATAAGAATTTATTAAAAATTAATTGTTGCTCATTCCATACTATATTTTATGTAGCACCAGATGAATAATTTTTTACGCGAAGGAGTTCTCGCAATGAAATCCACACACATGAATTTATCATACATAAGTAGGTACCGTCGTTTCGACAACGCGAATATTATTTTGAATTCGGTGTTCGAACCTTTCATATGAATTATTAATTTTAAAAAAAAAAAAAAAAAATTATTTTTGAGAAAAAAACATTTTTCTGTGATTTCTAAGGGAATAATTTATTGTAAATGCAACGTATGTGTAAATAGTACGAAATACTCGTATTCGAATATTCTTTCATAGTTGGTTGTAATAATAGGATTTATTCCATACACGTAGGTACCAAACAAAATATAAGCGTATTAATACCATGTACATTTATATGATGTTATTGAAAATTATAAATAATAAAATATTTTTCGAAATTTTGCTTTTAAACCCGTTTAAGGGCGAGTGGGCGCACGTACAAAAATAAATAAAATATATCGTAACGTTAAGTGGTTGCGGGCAAATAGCATGCCGAATGACGATGAACGACATGTGACAGACGTACAAGGTTTAGCGTTTATACGAGTTATAAAATCATCAAAAATCCTTTGTTACGTGTTACGGGAAAAAGCATTTTCCTGTTTATAAATGTTTGTGTGTGCGTGTGTGTGTATATGGGTTTTTTTTAACACATTATATTTTCCACGGAAAGGTACTTGTGCACTATTATGGGCCATAGCGAAATTCATAAGTTCAACCGAGGTGAACAATCTTCAACAAATCGAAACACGAGTAAATAATATTTTTTTCTTTCGATTTGACCAAGTGACAAGTGGCTGTGGTAGGGAATTTATGAAAAAATAAAACTTAAAAATAATGTACTTTAAACTATTATATCAATCGTAGTGACAGTTATGGCTAATGATTATTAATGTTTCTGAATTATATTACATACACGTACAGCAATCAATAGAAGCAATCAAATTTTTATTTTCCATTATCAGCTGTGTATTTTAAATATATATTATAGGGAAGGTCATAGTCGAATTGTATTCAGTTTAAATTGCTTTATGAACGCTAAAATAAATATATAAATTTTAATTCCCATGAATGTAATGGCTGAGTACCCCTCGTTTAATGGCACTATTAGTTTTCCAAATTGTACTTCTTTTATCTTTTTCGATTTTGTGCGAGTGTGTGCGTGTATGTGTGTGTTTGTATGTGTATGACTTGAACGTTGGTACGAAATAAATATACGTTTGTTTTTATTTTCGTTGTTAATCTTTTTACTTTTGAATAAAACTATTAATTTATTAGTTATTTTGTCAATTCGAAACAGTCTATAATGCCTGTATTCTTGGCTTCCTACGGATTTTGCCTGTAAAATACGAGTAGATTTTATTTCTTTACAAAATAATATCCTTTATAGTAATGTGCGTCGCGAGAGGGGTGCTAAGAAGTGCACTTGCACTGGATTTAAAAATAAAGTGAATAAAATTTAAAAATGTAGGATAGAAGCTATTATTATCATTATCGAATTTTTTTAGTAATGTTTTTATCCATTACTTTGTAGCGGCTGAAAAAAACGAAAATAATTTTGTATTGCTATACAATTGGAAAACATATTCTTTCATATTTAACTTATTTAATTTAAGCGTTATTTAGAAAACAGCGAGATCATACTATGCATTATGCCATTATGCGAACTCCTAACGAAATTTCTGGTGGCACCTATGTTTATAGCATATTGTATATACAACAAACCTATATTTTCATAATTTTATAAATTTTATTTATTGCAAAAAAAAAAAAAATAATTAAAAAATATTATTGTGATCACATAAATACATACCTACTATATCTATTTTTAATATGCGTTTGTGTATATGGAAAGAATATTTAATTATTAAATATAAAGTTTAGTTACTTATAGGATGGATTTTCAGTTATATTTAAAAAAAGAAATTAATTGTTTTAATTGAAGTTTAAATTATATTAAGATCTGTAATTATCTTTTATTGTTTAATAGGTTAAGTTAAACATTTAATTTTTTTATTTCGTTAATTTTGATAAATGGTAAAATTGAAGTGAAAAAATTCATTATTATTCAGATTTTTTATTTATTGATATTTATTTAGTCAAGGGATTAATAACTAAATTGATGTATAAAAAATAATAACTATGAGTATATGCAGTATTTATGTTGTTTTTTTTTTGCTTTTAATCCAATATAAATGATGTTTCGGTTGTTAAAAATTAGAAACAATAACCAAGGAGGTATGTTTTTTTTTAAGTGTGCAGAAAAATGACTAGTAGCTTCGTGGTACCAACTTTAAAGATGTCGTAAATATTCTTAAACAAAAAAAAAAAATAAAAAAAAAACAGTCTCAAATTCGAAACACTCCATGGTGTAACTGTGCTTGGGGTTTAAAAGTTTTCGTTTCGGAACTATTGTCCGCCAATGTCGACCCCGAGGGCAGAGGAGATAAAACAGGTCGATATTATTGTTATCGTTCCATAAATTTCCCGGTGTTTTTAATAACGTGCTTTGGGTCCCTAAGTCTTTTGCCGCTGCCTCCGTCGTCGCCAACCAAACTTTCCTTATGAAACTCGTAAAACATTTTGTCCACTGTATTCGCCATGTACTCTATATGTCGTCATTGTTTTTGGCTCGAATATAACTCTTCGGTCTTTCCCCGTTGCTGCCGACTTGACTCGTTCACCGGCTAAAATAATAACTTTAAACGTCGGCCGATGCCGGGATCACCGTACCCGGCGGACGAGGCGGACAGTTTTCATTAATTTTCTTTTAAATCCATTTCGAGAGTATAACAGATGGAAATATATTTTGCCGGCGTATTGGTTATCAAATTATGATGCATAGTTTCTACGTTCAAGATCAATCGAAGAACACTCCACTGGTGGTTATCGTAACAATCGCGCGAGTGGTACATGTAGTATTATGGTAAATTAACGTGAATAGTAAGCTCATAAGCATATAATTTTACGTCGGACGACCATACAATGTGCGTGGTATGGTGAATCGATTATTGTGGCAATCAAATTGTGTGTCCGCTACATAATATGTATATACGACGTAGTGACGTAAAAAGAGGGTCACATGAGATCGCTCTTGTGACCCCTAAAAATGTCATAGGGTCATAAGAGTAAGTTTTTATCACCATAAAAACCATGTATACGGTTTTCAAAAACATAAAATTTATGTAATTTAAAAATTTAAAAGCTATGCCCAAATTCAATATCAATAACATAATAAACTAATTTATATTCCACAAACTAATATTTAAAAATTCGTGTTAATGTACTGCAGCTCTAACATAATTATTTTCGTAATAAAATAATAAAATAAAACAAAAATTAGTAAATTCTGAACATTCGTAGTTGAATATATAAATAAATAAATATAAATATAATAATAAATTAACAAATAAATGCGTAGCCTGGAATATTATTATATGGGCATATGTAATGTATGACCAGTTTCAAATTAATAATTCATCGTCAAATGTATAAAAAGCGCATAAAAATTCAATGAAAATCGCGACCGAATATGAAAAAAAAAGGAAAGAATACATTGAGAAAAATTTGTCACCTAACCCAGAAATAATTTGTTTTAATAAGAAAGATCATTTAAAATGATTTCTTATTATACATAGATATATTAAGAAATGTGAATACTTTGGTTATTATCTATTATTATCCAAAATGTATTAATATAAGAAATTATTTTTAAAATCGGTTTGTGTGTTTAAAATATTGTTAAAATTATTTTTCTTTATTTCATTGTGCAAGTGTAACTTTTTTGAAATTTAATTTATGTAAATGGTTTTTTTTTATATTTAATATTTCTAAGTCTGTATTAATATCAAAATGTATATCATGGTTATTTTTTAAAACATATTTAGTGACGTTTGAATTAGGGGCAAATTTTTTAAATTTTATTTCAGAAATATGTTTATTGTGAAATGTTCTTTATTTCTTACTTTTAAATTTTTAATTTTCTTATCCACATATAATTTACTACAATTTATTAACTTAAATATAATTTTAATATATTTTTTCAAATTTAGAACATTATAGAACAGAGTTTAGGTATTAGGGGATAATAACTAATTAATAATTAATACCTAACCTAACCCCCCGTAAGTTTACTGACCACGGTAAAAGCTTGAATATAGATATAATTGGTTTTATTGAAACCATTAATTCGATTTGATTTAATCAATTTTAATGGCATACAGTTCACATCGAGAGAAAATAAAAATAAGAGTGAGATCGATAAGTCTGGTAGCGTTAACGAGGATTATTATTACATATGCATCACACGTACAATATTGTATATTATAATATATTTGGTAATATACAACTGCAGTTTCGCGTCATGTATAATATACCCATATATAGATGTAAAACTGCTAAACGACAGCGTATAACGTGTCGTCGAGTCAAGTGTACAGTGTTATATTGAAGGGATTTCGTAACTTTCTTTACGTTTTTATGGGGTCGTATAAACAAGATGATAGTGATATGTCAACGACAACGGTCAGAGTCATTTTAAGGATTTGCGTACGGTCTACAGGGAGATGGAAACTTCGTATGGCCTACGAAGAAATTACTCAATACTCGATAGAATATATATAATTCGAAACAGCGAGTTACCGTAGAACATAAATAATTATTACCCGAAGGTTTTGAGTTTAATTAATCGATTGTCGGTGAACCGCAATATTTTTCGTATTGATCTAGGAACCAAAAATCTTAACCCGAATGAAATACAGTTGTTTAACCGTAAACAAAATAGTATTGTCGTATATACCGGTCGAATATATCACTGCGTTTTAACATACCTGAAAACGTACGTCTACGAAACGATACGGACAGCGATGTGTTATGACTGCATGGAACGTTAATCATTCTGCTTTGTAAGATAATAAGTAGCACGTACGAACGACAGTAATTTTGTCGTACATCGTGCGTAAGGATTTTCATAGTGAGCATTTTTTTTATGAACCATATAAGTTGTAGTAAGAACCGACGGTTGAATGTCACGGCCATAGGCATGCACTTAACCTTTTTTTAAGATATGCCAAAGGCTGTCACTGCTCCCCCCCCATCCCTTATCTGAAATTATTTTATGCGTTCAAAATTCTGGTAAAAACACACACACAAATGTTTAAATAACTGTTTAATTTTAAATTGAAATGTTTTCCTTCAAAAAAAAAAAAAAAAGTGACTGAATAGCCATTTCTTATCATATTTAGTCGTATACTCTAATGAATAAACGAAATATATTTGGTAAATAATTATAATTGATCATATCACAATTCAGAGTTCATTTGAGTTTTTGAAATCATCGAAAATGTTTTCAAGGTTTAATTTTATAGCGATTTTTCGTTCTATAGTTAAAATAATTCAGCTATTTAATTCCTCTTTTAGGTAGCAGTACTTCTTTTTTTCGGCAATACGTTACATACGTATAATATAATATATTACAATGTATTATCGAAATCAAGAAGTACTGCTACCTTCAAGAGAAATCAAATAGCTTAATTATTTTAACTACAGACCAAGAAATAGCTATAAAATTAAATCTCGAAGACGTGATTGATGATTTAAAAAACTCAGATGATCTCTGAAATATGTTATGATCAATTTTATCATTTGTACACTATTTGTGTTTCAAAAATATATAAAAATGTCCGAACATATCCTGTATACGTTGTGAGCACGCCCATGGTCACGGCGGCGTGCTGCTTAATAACGTAATGCGCTTAACGTTAATATTGTGACTACGCGTCTCACCTGTTTGCCGTCCCATCTCTTGTACGGTTTCCATTCCGCCATCCCCGGCCTCCAGTACTCCACGGTGTACTCCTCGGCGTACTCGAGCCCACGTCCGTTGCCGAACCGTCCCTGCGTCTGTATTCCCGTGATCATGTGCACCTTCTCAAAGTTCACCTGCAACCACTCGCGGACGCCCTGCTCCACCGGCGGCTTAGGACACCATCCGCCTCCGGCTCGTTCCACTCTCAATCTACGAGCAGATTACGAAAACGCATTTAATACACACGTTCACGTACGCACCGCTCATCAAAGGTCGGGTTCAATCGGTATGCGTACGTAACACGACCGTATGGTATGCCATAAGAGCATATTAGGTGTAACGTATGCACGTGCAGATAAATAAGCGCGCGAGAAGGTAATCGGATTAGGGGTCGGATAGGTATGTGTATATGTTTAGCAGCTGACAAGGAATGCATTTACGAGTGAAGCATACACGTGGATATAACATGGATATAATGCACTTGTTAAGAATTAAATAGTACATTTTCATTTTCATATTTTTTAAATCAATATTTGAACCTTTTAAAATGCACGGGAACATTATTTTATTATTATAAATATGTCGATAAAAAAAAAAAAAAGACTTTTTATTGATATTCGAAACTTATTGGTGGTAAGATACATCACAGTAGATCTATAATAGACGTGCTACGCGTCGCCGACGATGTAACAATAATTACTATCGTAATCAGAAGAAGTTTGAGAAAATAATTAAAACTTTGAATGTTATATTAAATAAAGGTTTCAGCACGAAAATAAATGCGCAAAGAACGGAAACTTTCGTATGAGGAATACAGGAGTAAGAATATTATGGAGTTTCCAGGGTATAAAATAATAGGCAAAAAAGTTAGTTACGCATAATGTTGTCAGCAATGATGAGTGAAACAGGAGAGAAATAATAAAACATATTAATCGGGCCAAAATAACTTCCGATAACAATTCAATTACTGTATTTACATCGAAAAGTAAAATATCCTTAAACAGAAAAAAAGTTTTTGGAGACATTAGTGGAGTGTCGTCATATACGGAAAGACAACCTGGTAAATAGCTACAAGAAAACATAAAAGGTTAAAAAAAAAGACCTTTGAAATGTGGTTTCATAGAAGAATGTCAAAAATAAGCTACAATATGGGCAGAGAAAACAATAACGAGATGCGGAAAAAATTGCTGAAGGAAAGTTTTAATAATAAGAATTATGCGAAATAACATAATGAATCCCATGTGCCACACACAAGAGTGACCGATCAAAATGTATTTTATTGAAAGGAGTGATGAAAAAGAAAAATCACAGGAAAACAAAATATATTAATTCTTTTCTTTATTTAAAATTTACATTTACATATTTTCATGTATGCAATAATAAAAAAGGAGAAAATCGAAAAATAGAGAAAGTAAGAAAAAAATGGTTGTTTACTCTAATCTATAGCTAATTTACGGATTAAAAAGAGATAGTTATGTACGATAGGAAATCATTCATTTTATCCTGTTCAGATAATTACGTCAACAATAAATATACACGTATGCATTCATAATAATTAATCAAACGATAGGTGAATGTGCAACAGCCAGAGCAGAGGAATATCGTAAATTAAAAACCATCGGAATCATATTAGATCGCTATAAGTTCATAAATAAGACATTAATGTTATCAGTTAATCATTTAGAGGGCTTTCTTATACAGAACCGTTAACTCAATACTTGAACAAGACAAGTATAAATTAAATCGATGTGCCAAGTATTAGTTAAACCGTCACTTCAATCGCACCTTTTAACCAACGTAGTTAGTTCCACTTGAGGAATTTAATAAAATATTGTTTTGTTACTCTTCCCGAGACTTATTCGGCTCGCAATAAGTGTTTAGATAAAAAATTGCTATTTTAATTAAATTTGGTACTCCGGTGGATATAACGTTTAAGAGCTGTTTTTCGACTTTTTGTCACTGGCAAAGATATGAAAAACTTATGCGTAGTAACGACAGCACAAATAAGATCTTATTGCTATCACTAAATATCAAATCTGTCGAATAAAATCCGCATGTATTATTCTAACTGTTATTTTGTTTGTAAATTTATCCGAACGCGTGTTATTATTAATCCGCCGAGAGAGATACGGTTTTATAACTGAATTTGTAGATTTATTTAACGTCTTCGTTGTTAGTATTTATTGTTATAATAACAGTAATAGTATAACCGCGGTAGAGTATGTTAGGTGAATTTTATCAAAAAGTTGTTTTACGAACACACAAAAGTCGAAAACAACTGAAATGCACGTCATTTTCACATCAAGGAAGCATGTAATGATTCAATAAAGTCTTTGATGTGTATCATTTTCCAAGGGCGTAAAATAATTATTTTAGTTAATACTGCGGGCAACAGTTAAACTTTAAAGATGTTCTCAACTGATAGTATAATTCGTTCTACGCTTGGAATATATTTATTTATTTTTTTTTATTTGTACAAGAGGTACAAGTATGTCTTTTAATTTTTACTATGCTGTGTCAATAATGTCTCTTATACAATTATTATTAACATACATTTATTTTTTCGAGAAATTAATTTTAATATGAGGAACTTAATATTATTCACAACAACGGCATATTACTACGTTAAGAATGTTTAATCATACAATTTATAGAATATTCAAAATTGTATTTTCATTGGGGATATCAAGTACAATATGGGCCGGGTTTATTTTCATTAATTGTAAACGTGAAGAAAATAATCTGAATTGTATAAAATATAAAAAAAAATGTATGAAATAAATATAATTGAATTTTAGTGTTCTATTATAGAACTCATATTTTCACAAGTACGTACAGTTTAAATTGTATAAATATATAACCTAGTAAGTCGTTTTATTTGAAATGCATATGTATTGTTTTAAATTGAATAAATATTATATGCGAAAAAGTATTTTTTAATAGGTTTTGTTATACTATAAGAGGATACGTAATTTTATGAAATATCACGAAACGATGATAATATAAACATTTTCAAAGTTTATAAAAATTATTTTATGTATAGTATAAGCATTATATGAAAAATAATTGAATTGATTCCAAACATAAATTTAAAAGCTTTAAAATGTGTAAGAGTAAAATTTCTAATGATTAAAAATTATTTTAATATTTTTAAACTTTTAATTAATTTAATAAAATCTATTATTTTCAATTTCAAAACTTTTAGTTCTTCTTTTTTTTAATGTTAGTTATTATTTATTATTATTTATGATTTAACGATTATTTTAGTAAAACAAAAAAACAAAATAATATACACTAAGATGTACATATTATTTTATTAATTTCATCAAGTACATTTTTCTTTATTTTATGAAATGTAACGTTAATTAAAACCTAGTTTAGTAAATAAACATAAAATAATATTTTTTTTTTACATAGCCTAATATTTAATAATACTTATACTCACTATAATTGTTTCAATTTTGAAACCGTAGCATAAAGAAAATTTCTTATTATTAAGAATAAATATAATAAAATTGAGATAAGTATTTTGAGCTACGTATATATTGTTTGGTTTATCAATTTATAGAAAAAAGATATAAGAATAAAGGTAATCATAAGAAATTTTTATAAAAAATATAATTATAGAAATTATAAATAAATGGGGATGATAAATAACTGTAAGACATTAATGATTAAAAATACAGAATAATTATCTTAAGAATAGTTTACCTGTAAGGTTATATGATATATAAATTAAAATAGTTACTTATACACTTGTAATTATTTCAGATTTTAATTCAGTTTGATTTATTATTAAGGTATCGTGAAACAAAAATATTAATAAAATATTAAGAACAATTTAAATAAAATTATTAAATTAGGTGACTATACTTTTATATGACACTATTGGTTTGATCAAAAGGTTTTACAAATTGTATGTTTAATTTTGTATTAATTAATAAGATGATTTTGTGAAATTAGTATATATATATTTTTTTTTTAAAATCATACCTTGATCTCAAAATCCGTATTTAATTATGTAGAAGAAGAGCGCTTCTTGACTTGATAAAAAAATGAAATAAAAATTGAAACATCACGAAATGCTGAAAAACGTCTAATTCAATAGGTATAACTCAAGTCCATTTATAAGTTAAAAGTTGGTATTAACATATAAATTATAATCAACCGGTATCGCGACAGGAGACTGGAAACTAAAGAAAATTAAGACAGTATTACGTATCGCACAAATACGGCGGTCACCTTCCAAATGATCAATCACCCTAACTATAACATTACGTTTTTAAAGAACGAGGGGATGCCCAAGGCCCGATCCCATAGTGAAATTTCTGATTAAAAATCTTCAGAATTAGATCAAATAAAAAGCGGTCTGACAAAACGAATGTCATGTATGAAAAAGTCTCTAAAAATAAAAAATTTTTTTTCACAAATTCGAATTTATATTATTCACGTTTTAAAATTTAATTTGTACATATGATCTTACGAATTTAACTCAAATTAAAAAGCCCATACCGATTAGCGTGCGTATTAATAAGTTAACATTAGAAAATTTAAATTATAAACCGATAAATCGAATGGCAAAGTAGTTTTAAAGTTTTGAATATGTGCACGATATTTGATTAAATTGTGATAGTAAAAAAACCGAAACGTATAAACTATTCGTACAACTATTCTCATCAATAGTCGAGTGTTATCGGTCAAAATGTATAAACTCTAACCGATTTTTGAGCTCCGTTTTTGTCGTAACAATACTTTTACCGGTGACAGTTTAGTCGGTCACGTTTGGTGTCTGAGGGTTATTCCTTAGACCAGTGCTTATTTTAACATGCGTTTGAGCACATTTTGCGTAACTCTAAATGAAAAATATGCAGTTCTAATTCAAAAAATGTACAGTTTTAAATACTATCTATAAATAAAATTTCTCACAATAATAAATTGTAGTTACCGACTTCATGGTCGAGTGCAGGTAGAGGGTCCGTCAATCATCAGATTAGGTTAAGACTGTGTTATTATTTATTATTATTATTATTTTATTATCACAATATTATTGCACGACCGCAGCGGGGTTTATAATCATACACAGGGAGTAATATTTTTAAGAGTATGGAGAGTGGGTTGAGTTTTAAGTTTCGCGTATTTCTAAAAAGACCTTAAAATAAGTCCTGCCTTAGACATAGATCGACTGTCGTAGCCGGTCAATTAGAAAAATA